TAGGAGCAGCTGCAATAACAGACCCCTAAAAGATCAAAGGTGGGATCAGGTGCAATGGAGGAGTTCAGCATCCCCTGTTGACCGGTCACACCCGCCGTGTGCTCCTTGTCATGATCGGAAAATAACGGAAAAATCCGTCGTCAATTCAGTGTATAAATAATGGACTAACAGTTATAATGAAAAACGTCAGTCAGCATTTGACTTAATGATAAATTGTATTTGCTGATAAGATCATTGTATCGACCGAAGAACTTACGAAATGCTGACTTTAAACGAGACTGCTGATATTCTTGTTTTATCAACTTGTTTGTCAATAGTTTACCTCGTTTTAGAAATTGTTCATACGTAGATTGTTGGAAGATCTGGTCTCCAAAAAAAACCACATAGATATTGTCAATCAGAAATCCAAGCACCCCTCCGACACCAACGCCAGAGCATCCGTGTGCGCAATCAGAATGTGCCCCAACAAAACAACACCGCAAACGACCAATGACCAAGCAAGCAAATTCACGAGCTCCACTTCCATTGAAAAGAATCTTATTAATTGTTACATATAAGACGCCAAAAGTCTGGGTGTTTTTTTTTTCTAATTTATCTTAATGGGTGGTGGTAAACTACAGGTAGAAATATTAGTTTTGATTCAAAATCCATTAAATATTGCAAAATAGGACCAGAGCAAACACGAACCTCAAAAACATCAGAGGTGGGATCAGGTGCCATGGAGTCCACTATGTTTTTCAACTTTTTTTCAAGGCTTCACATTTTCTAAAAGAGTTTTTTTTTTGGTATTACTTTTGATTAAAACCTCGTTGTGAATATTTAGAAGTGAAAACACCTGAAGTTTCTTCAACACAGCTGTTTATATTTTTTGTAAGGCTTAGTTGGACATTTCTGCACCATGCAAGTCATATTTATAAGCATTTTTTAAATGAAGTTTACAGTAAATAAAAAAAACTCTCGAATCTGTAAAAAGTGTTTTCCCATAGTATGACATTTTCTATAACTTTTATCACAGAAACAAATTCCTTTGGAGCGGTAGTTCAAATTCACTTCCATTTATACCATGTTAACAGTGTATAATAATGAAACATGCTTTAAGGACAGATGATACAAACAAAAAATGGATGCCTGGATTGGTATATATATTTTTTGACCTTATTCATTGCAAATGATGCAAATAATAATTTCTAGAATATAAAGAAATTGTAAACCTTCTCTAATGTTCAAAATTTTACCCTTCTGAATGATCCTTATTATTCTATACAAATAATATTCACTTCAAATTCCATTTTTGTGCAATTTTGAATAAAAACTTACAAACTACGCTGTAAATTTTATTCATTAAAACATGGCGCCCAAGTTAAATTGTTTTGTTTTTTTCAAAATTTTTGACAAAAGTTTTTTGTATCATCTGTCCTTTTAAAACTGAGTGAACAGTGAGTTGGATTGACAGAAGAGGGACTTCTAAAGTGGAATAAAGGGAACACTTCTGTAGGAGTTTTAATCACCTACAACCATAGTTGCTTGAAGCTAGGGAAGATTGGTTGATAATGAAACTGTTCTTGCAATAAGAAAGTCTTGCAATGCTCTCGAGCGATCAAACTCAAACGTATGTAACGCCCTGTAATTCATTATTAGAAAATGGTTGAACCAGTATAATGGTACGAAAGGTAACACTGTAGGTAGACATGTTTTCAGGTATTTACATTCTGTTCCACCTTGGGATGGTCGTAGATACAGGTGGTCAGCATGCTGAGAACGATCGAATATCAAAAGAGAGGTAACTCAAATTGGCAGAGTCGAGGAAGACTTTTTTTACAGACCGTTCAATGGCAAATTCCTAACATCCTACAAAATGCATGATGCATATCAAATATTAGCTGCAGAACTGAAGCGTTATAGCAGACCTATTGTTGTATTCATATGAAGTAGAATTTGTCCAAAATCTTCTACATGAAAAAAACACCACTTTCTGTGGCCTTCAACTCGACATTTGATTCAGATATATCGACGGTGCATTTTCAATTAACAATGATTCTTTCCATTCTTATGTCGATGCGATATCCCGGTGAACTTGAAAGAGTCGGATTTATATCTCTCAGTTTTGATACACAAAAGCATTCTATAGGTATAAACATTTTCTAAAACGAGGTAAATTATTAAAAAATTATCAGCAGTCTCGTTTAGTCATCATTTAGTAGGTTCTATGGTGGATACAATGACATTGTCTGCAAATACAATTTATCATTATCAAATTGTGACTGAAGTTTTTCAAACTAATTTTTAGGCCATTATAAATATATTGTATTGTCGACGGATTTTTCCGTTTTATTACCGATCAAGACAAGGGGCACACGTCGGATGTGACTGGTCGGCGGGGGTGCTCACTCCTTCATAGCTCTTGATCCCACCTCTGATATTTTGGAGGTCCGTGTTTACTCTGCTCCTATTTTGTATCATTGAATTGGTTTTTGAACTTGAATACTGTTAATGTTATCTCCATATATTTCATGGTTTTGTATTTTAGACTTTGATCATAATTCTACAGATTCCGTAATGCAAATGTGCAATTTACTGTGTGAGATTTTCTGCGCACGGTTGAGAGATATTTCTCCACTTTCCAGCATTCAGCTACCATTTATTCCTCAATTCAAGTCACATTCTATGACCAACCTGAATATTTTATCCATCTCCTTAAACCTAAGTAACACTTTATACATTGTAGTCGTTTCTACATAGCAACAAGTTAATTGATGCAAACCATCAAATCGGCCGCTAACATAATTAACATGTCAAAAAATTACTTTCACAATTCAAAGCATTCATGCACGAAAAGAACAGGATATTCAAAGCTTAAATAGTGACCATTTTTATTTCAGGTCGTCTTCAAAGCAAAATAAATAGATAAGTATTTTTAAAAATTTGATAGAAATTTTAATATCATGCCTGCTGTTCAATCCAATTCAATGAATAAAATATATTTTAAACTAGAAATTTTAGTGCATTTGCTCATCCGATGAATTTATCGATGTGAAAAAGTCTATGATGAATATGCATGGGCGTCGGAAGCAAATCGAAAGTTGGGTGGGGGTGGCATGGGCTAATTGAAAGTGGGGGGGGGGCTAAACCAACAAAAAATGGTAAAGCCCATTTTCAATGCCTACATAATGTATATATTTGTAAAAAATGTGGGGGAGCTAACCATCCCCCCCCCGGTTCCGACGCCTATGATATGAGAAATTATTGTCATCAAAACGAAGATGTATGCCTTTCAAGATATACCACGTGATCATACCCTGGTTATTTGTCACGTGATAATGCATATATGGTTTTTGCAGAGTAGGCTATGCTGCATGGTGCGGTGCAAAATGTATAAAAATAATCTTTGTGTCATTCGCAGCTGTAGGATTTTCAAACAAGTTTTTACTAGTAGAGAAACTTTTCAATTTTTTATTCACCATGCACTTTTACCACGTGCACGTCATTATTATCCGGAAAATCATAACGATTTCCTTGGATGGGGAGTACCTATTGTAAATTCTTTTTATTTGACCATAAATTATCAATTATCTGATGCCAAATGATAATGAAATTGAAACAAAATAACAACGATTAAAACTTAATTTAAAGCAAGTTTTTAAAATATTTTACTCATCATTTTATACGTTATCATTTGAGAATTATTTTACTGATCTAATAAAATAATAACATCTCATTTCCCCATGTGCACTTTCTAACACAACCATAAATACATCGGCTGCGGCCGATAATAAACTCTCTTATTTAAATTCTATTTGACTGACTATAAATATACTGAAAGGAAAAAGAAACGCAGGGTAGCATAATGTTCGAAAAATAATTGACCACATGACCGAAAATTACCAAAATTGGTCAGAAGAGAAATTTACTTACTGTGCACCTATATCAGTGTTCAGAATTACTCAACCGTAAAATTTATGACGTCACGTAGGGAAAACGCTAAGAAGCCCAAAACACGTGCATTTTTTTAACGACGAGTTTGTCAACAAATTTTCTAGCATTATTTGATGCATATGAGGTATGCACATCGTTTTTCAATATTATGAGACATTATGAATTTCTTGCAATCTTGGCACAGTTTACGTAAGTTCAATGGGGTCTTGTTTTCGAATTGCCTTATTAATGAAAAGGGCAACAACGGTTTACTAAGCAGTTTCTTCTAAATTTTCCCCCATAAAACTTGTTACCCGTTGTCAGAGAGGGTCTGGCATGGTTTTCAATCAACAGTGACGATGACGTTAATGTGAAACAGAGCCATGTTACGAGCGGGTTATTTGTCCTGCCATCTCTTAAATCGCCACCGTACTACCACAAAAACAGCCATTTATACAGTAGATGATTATAATCATTACATTCAAACAAAATTTGAAAGAAAACGATTCCTCAATTTGATTGTTTGAGCCAGTCAACTTATTGTTTTATTCCTCTCACTGGCGCATGCGCGCGCAGTTTGACTAATTTTTTTGCGTGGTTACCCATGCCAAATGTAGCCCGGGTCTGAAAAATTAACACCCTAATGAAATTCCATGCAAAGGAAAAATAAGGCTCTGACAGATGCACGGGAGAGACATTGAAGATAATAAGAGCTTTCGATTTTCACTTTTGGGGGGTATCGTCATTTGAGCTTCAGTAACTCATGAATTATCAGACAAAATCAAATGGGAATTTGGTTATATCTTTTTGAAAGATGATTTTTTAATAGTTAGATATAAAAACTAAAACATATTTTACGAAAAACAAATTTAATTCACCTTAAAAGTTTACCCTGCGTTTCTTTTTCCTTTCAGTATAGTTAGTTCTAATTTAAGGAGGTGGATAACATAAACTGGTTTATCTACTAAGCCATGCTAAAGCCAATGCAGTATCAACTCAAATCTTTACAAAGTAATACCATTTATAGAGCCAAGCAGGGAAACACTTTCCCTACTTTTATTGCTTTCAATTTTTAAAAAACTTCACTGTAATTCTCTGTTAATTTTATTTTTTATAAGCTAAAATCTATTTTTAAGACAACACTTTCTGTACATCTGAATTTCTTACAACATTGTTGTACATGTATTTTATGTAAAGTTCTAACATTTTCTATAGACTATAATACACAAGTATAGTAACATCAGATAAAACATAAAACTGGCGAGAACTGGCTTCTACCGAAAATGTGCACACATTAGTAATAAATCTACACAAAGAAGTTTATATAAAAACAAGTACTGACCTGTAACGTTTAGGATTCATTAAATATAAAAAAATTCCAAAAGTTAATATTATTACAAAACATTGTTGTCATCTTGATATAAACCAAGTCTAATTCATGATATGTCAAAATTGCATTCATCACTGTATCATACAGACCTTGATAGGATTTTTATAAATGTTTCTGCATATAAAGTCATAGTAGAAACATATGGTAACAGGTCTGCAGGTAGCATTGCTCACCCCTATCAGCTACCCTACTCTACCTAACTTCATCATGAATAAATGTATACATTTTACAAAGGAACAGAAAAAATATGCAAGTTTTCAATTATTCTAAATATAGTACAAAAACGTAATCACAAACTTTTTTTCCTTTTACCTTTCAAGCAGAAGTTCTGAAGATCTTTACTAAATATTGTTAAAACAAAAAAGATTGGTCACAACCCTTATACCAGTTGGTGAATTTTCAATATTTTTAAATAGTGCACTAATACCAGAACTTGGTTTTTCACAAACTGTGAAAAAAACTAAAAAATTTAGCATCCTTGTGCCATTTTGTTTGAAAATGCTCACTTTAAAAAAGGTTGAAAAATAAGAAAAAATTGTATTGTCTCAGACAATCACACACTACAAATTTGACAGTAATGACCATAAATGTTACTTGAAATCAAATTCGGGAGAACTAAAGATACACTTAATAATACTGATCTCCTGATATGTCTGTAAGTATATCTTTGATAAAAAAAATCCTTTCAAGATTAATAAATGACTAGGACACCATAGCAAATACACAATTTTCAAGAACAATTACACTTTAGAGCAAATGACACATACAGTTAGCAAATGACAAATACAGTTTTCAATGAAAATAAATTGTCAAAATAAAACTTATTTTTATTGGTCCAGATTTTTCATCACTGGGATAAAATTTAGAGAACTCTGTCCCCATTGGATAATGTCAGGGGTGTATATACTAGTATACATTGATAATGTGACAGCCATTACAGCAACCTGCCACATATGAAGTCATGTTTAACTGTACATACACTACAATGTCTAACTGATCAAACATTCAAAGTCAAAATCTTTCCTACCCTTTAAACAAAAAGGATTTCAAATTTTTAAGTTTTCAATTAAGTTGAGAACATTATTAAATTTTTTAAGTTTTCAATTAAGTGAAGAATATTATTGCATTCAGTCTGGGTATCATGTAATAAACAAAATACAATTATAAATGCCAAGATGATAAATTTAAAATGTATACAAAAGTTTGCAAATTTGAAAAAGTGAGACATGTAAAAATGTATAAACAAAACAATATTGGAAAAATTAAAACATATTTACAGCATATATCTCTCTGATATCAAATAAAACATATTCAAGTTATCAATTATATTTCTATCACAGAAACAAATACACAAAATTCTAAAAGTTATGAAATGACAGATTCAAATGTTCTGTGACAAAACATTTTCTTATAACGTCTAGATTAAATCTCATAGTCCGTTCAACTGAATATAATAAGATACATGACAAATATTCCAGAGACACATTGTGACATGACACACATTCTTATGGCAAAAAAGAGAAACAAAAAACAAATATGCAGCACCTATACTGAACGGATTTGCAGACATCGCTAAGAACACGAACATTTTTTATTGCAATAAAGGGAGGCAAACAATGTTGATGTCGTCATTGAGTGATTCCTTCACTTCCTGGTCCTCATTACTGATTTGTTTTCTTGTCAATACTTGTAAACCTTGTCCTTTATCTTCCTGACTAGACAACAGGAGAATATAACTCCAAATATCTGCAAATTGAAACACTTATAAATGATATAAATGTACAATACATATATTAGGAGATTTAAATTGTAATTTTACACATGTACAAATGCAACTGAAACTGATTCAATATTTCAAATAATTCAAAGGAGGCCAAAATGTCCACGAGTTTACAAATATGCAAGGTAGAATAGATTACAAACAGCCTTTTGAATACATTAGTTTATCTTCAAAATCACTTTCCAGCAAATATATTAGCTGCTCTATCAAAACCCTACTTGTATTGACAGATACCCGTACTTTTGTTTTTAATGAAACTAGTAGTTATCCAGGTCCAAACAAGGGTGTACAGGGATTTACCACAGGTTTTATTCCATACACCCTGATGCCAAAGGGTGTATGGAATACAACCCAGGGTAAATCCCTGTACACCCTTGATTGGACCTGGATAATGAATCTGTTTCCTATGTACCTACCTGGTAAATAAGATCTTTGTAACATAAATTTTAACCTATCAATAACATTTACTTTGTACTACGATGCATTGTGATATGCTATTTGCTTTTTTTCATACAAAGACTATGCATTGTGCTTTCATATAATATTCCCAAATGCAGGTTGGGTGTATGGAAATTTACACTTGGCTTGCTAACCAATCAAATCTTGTGTTGCAAGCTAGATGGAAATACAGAATATCTTACCTGTACACAACACAGCCCTAGCCCCACTCCTCCTATATCTGTTATATAGTATCTTACCTGTACACAACACAGCCCTAGCCCCACTCCTCCTATATCTGTTATATAGTATCTTACCTGTACACAACACAGCCCTAGCCCCACTCCTCCTATATCTGTTATATAGTATCTTACCTGTACACAACACAGTCCTAGCCCCACTCCTCCTATATCTGTTATATAGTATCTTACCTGTACACAACACAGCCCTAGCCCTACTCCTCCTACATCTTACCTGTACACAACACAGCCCTAGCCCCACTCCTCCTATATCTGTTATATAGTATCTTACCTGTACACAACACAGCCCTAGCCCCACTCCTCCTATATCTGTTATATAGTATCTTACCTGTACACAACACAGCCCTAGCCCCATTCCTCCTATCTGTTATATAGTATCTTACCTGTACACAACACAGCCTTAGCCCTACTCCTCCTACATCTTACCTGTACACAACACAGTCCTAGCCCCACTCCTCCTATAATCATCAGAGACTCCTTTGTGTACTGGGCAAGCTTACGGCTGCAGCCCTGCGTAATAATCAAATTCATTACAATGTATTTTAGGGATGTCAAATCGGTCAATTTTTAATACTCAGTTACTCGGACGTTTTTCCGATCGAGTACCCGGGTACTCGTTAAAAGTGGAAATAAATATGAACAAGTAAATTGAAGACTGTCATTGTAAACTCTTGTAGAAAAAATAACCTAACGCACTGATAGGAGGCTTACCCGTTAACGTATTTACTGTTGTAATAATGATGAGCAATTCTTGCCCGACGAAATTTAATATAACATTTTTAAAGTTATTTATCAGATAAACACAAGAAATAAAATCATAAGCGGTTCACAGTATTAATAATCTCTTGTAGAAAAAATAACCTAACGCACTGATAGGAGGCTTACCCGTTAACGTATTTACTGTTGTAATAATGATGAGCAATTCTTGCCCGACGAAATTTAATATAACATTTTTAAAGTTATTTATCAGATAAACACAAGAAATAAAATCATAAGCGGTTCACAGTATTAATAATCTGCTCTGTAATCGTAATGTAACTCTTTGTTTGACGACAAGGTATCAGTCTTCAGAGCTACGTACAGTATCAACTTGAACTTGATTAAGTTCTCCTAATAGAGCGGATTTACGATTTTCGTATACTTTTTCGATCCTTAATTTTATGATATTACGGGACGATATTTTTTAGTTTGGTGCAACGATGGACATCGGATTTTAAAGCCTTTGACTTCAACCTGTTGTATTGACAAGTAATCAAACACAACCATCTCAACAATCGCACGTGTAATATCACAGCTCTTATCCCCACTTTACGGCTTCTCTACAAAATTATCTAATTTATTTAATTAAACATAATAGACCTTACATGATGTTCAGTGAAAACAAATGATTAAAGCCAAACAAAAATTAAGGGTAGAAGACAGCCGAAGGTGAGAAAAGTCCTGACAGGTACCCCAGGTGCTTGGTCACGATAATTACTGTATAAACATTGCCACAGGCGATAACGGTCATTTATAGTCGTAGTAAACTCTAATTACTGTATGTACAAGTGCACTGAGCATTTTACGTTTTAAAACCGATTGTTTAATGCATTAACAAATAAGCTTAGAAATATTCAAAAATATACATTCCGAGTAACCGAGTACCGATTTTAGTATTCGATACCTGCGTAATAATCAACCGGGTACTTGTTGACATCCCTAATGTATTTATATCAAATCTCTAGATTACCATCAGTCAGATTTTTGTCAAACTGTTCATCAAATCTTTCTTACTACATATGTTCTCACTCCATTATTATGAGACAGATATGTACTCTTGTGTGGCACACTCAAACTGAATTTCAAATGAATTATGAAATTCAGTGTGTACATTGCCAACCCTATGAGTATGAAACTCTGCAATGCTTACATCATAAAAATCAAAAATTATTTTTCACACAAGAATTATACTTCCAATATATTTGACAATGGCCTTTTCAGAATGAATTTAAGAATATTCACACCTTTAGTCAACAGTAAACTAATTATATAAGCTGAATTAAGACCAGACACCATTACCTTGTAGTAGATGTTAGATGGGTGATCACTTTCCGCGCAGCCCATGGAGTATGACATACAACAGGAGTCTGGGGCTTTATTGGTTGTGTTCTGGTCTTCTTGTAGCCATTTTGATTTCTGCCAATCCTTAAAGGAAACTGCTCCACAGCATAGGAACTGGAGCAAAATATAAAATAAAAACAATGGAATTTCTATACCTATTTTCAAGTTAGGTGTTCTGATAAAAAAAGATCAATTATGTATGCCGTCCAACAACCATGAAAGTTATTGCCCTTTGCTTCATGTATAAGATACTTAGGCTTCTTATTATTGAAAATGAACTTCAAAATCCTGAGGAACATTCTCTTGCATTTCATTCAAGTGGCATTCCTGCATTCATTATTATCAATCATAATACATATATATATACCAAATACTGTCTTTTTGTAGATATACAGGGTTATCTACCTTTTGCTGCATATCATCTATAGCTCGTGTAAGCTGAATGTCGTAGTTGTAATTTTTCATCATTGTATCGTTTAAACTTCTTGACAGTTCCTCTCTGATCTGCAAATAAAAACATCTTCAATCAGTCTTACAATGCACATATTTTTGTAACGTAGAGGAAATGAAATGGCATCATAAGAGTGCTTCAAAGAGGGATAACTTTACATGTTCAGAAAAACACAAATAAAATAGTTCTTTAAACTCTGATTTTAAAAGTTGACAAAAAATGACTGTAATATTAATAATTTGACCCTGAACGTGTGACTCAGGTTTGTATATATACATGTACAGATTTTAACACAGCTGAAATGATGGGCATTTTCAATACAAAGATATTGACTTAAATTTATCCTAATCTGTGTACTGGCTACATTGATATTCTCCATTTTGAAGCTGACCTGACAAAATTTCTAAAATGACATTCATTTTAGAAGTGGTATTTTTATTTGTTACTTACAATTCCCTCATACATGTATGCAAGGACTCCACTTATGGCTTCCACCAAAAAAATGAGCAGCAGAAAAACTGAATACTGAAAATGAAATATTAACAGTGAATAGCACTGTCAAAATATCCAACAAAAACAAGATGTATATCTTACAGGATACTGAGGATAGATATTGATGTCTTACCAAGACAAGCAGACACCTGTTCTCTACGCGGGCTCCAGCACATCCCATAATTCCAGACACGATGATGAAGCCCCCAATGCCAATCATAAGGAATGTAGCGATAGGGAAAGTAGAATTTCCCAGTAAGCTGGCATAGGAATGTTTAGCTAAGAGTATCCACAGACCAATGGCTAAAAAGGCACAGCCAGTCAGCTAAAAAATCAAAATATAAAGTAAATACATGTATACACAAACTAGTTGCTGTAAAAGCACAAGTTTTATACTCAGTGCTAAAAAGAGGCACATCCAGCTATTCAGCAAAATACATGTACAATTTCAGTAATCATGGCAACACAATTCAGCAAAATCAAAAAGCTGATGAAAAGAATCATGTGTCTTAATTAGTGTTATCTACTAGTATATCAAGTTATATTGAAATTGGATCAATATTGTAGGAGGAGAAGCATTTTGAAAAGTTGTATACAGACAAACAGACAGATGGTTGATGTATGCCTCTATATCACATAAGCTCTTCTGGTACTAGGTAATGAAACATCTTTGCTGATGTCAAAATCTTTGTTTTAAATGTCATACAATTCAAGTACATCAAACTTGAAGGCAATTCTGTCACAATGAGCAAATGGCTTTATGAAAATATACAGCTAATTTATTTGTTGTTTTATCTCAGACAAAGACATTTGAAAAAATACACTGAATTTGTATTCAATTCAAAGTCTAAAGGCATTTCACTCTAACTGTACCATGAAACTGGAACTCTTCAGGAAGCAATGTATATACATGTATCAATATTTATCAATATTTATAACTGGCTCATTAAAGTATCAGTAATTTCAATGCTTTTCCAATTAAAGTAATTACAGAAAATAAGCAGGAAAGAATTTGGTAAAAACCTGAGTTTTCTACTCACCCAGAAGATGAATGTAAAGACATAGATGACAAATTTGAGGAAATTTTTCCCACATAGATCTTGATTTTTCCTGCGGTTTCTGGCTTGGCCGTTCATCATGATGAGAGGTGAAGAATCTGCAAGAAAGAGGCATATAAAATGATTATCTACCACTGACCTATGGCCGAGGTCAAAATACACCCCAGGGTGCTGCCTGTGTGGATTTCTCTGCTTTATTTATGCACAGAGATGTTTTTTAATTATGATTCATCAGAAACAAAATCTAGAATTTCTTAAACCAATAAATTATAAAAAAAAATTTAAAAATAGTGATCTGTATAATGCCATAGTCAACTTAAAAAAAAAACCAAAAATCACATGTAATAAAATAATATTGACTGTATAATTGCCACTTTCAATCACATCAGAGAACATTTTGTCATTCAGGGGATAACAGTGATTGTAAATCTTAACAAATATTCCTAGCTGCTAACACATAACAGTAATAACATGTCAAATCATAAAGTAGGGTCTCAGGGGCCATGAGGGCCCTCAGCCCCTAGAGATGTTTCATGAATAGATGGTTGTGAATGGATTCTCCAGTTTGTTTATGTGGAAATGCATGATACCATAATAGATTGCAAGTGTGAAGAAATTAAACAATGAAAATACTAGAGGTACTTTGAGCAATAAGCTCACTAAATGATACCCCCCCCCCACATGAACATAATGGTAGTGTCCATGTTTTGCTATGGAAAACCCAATATAAATGTTGGATCAAAAAGTAAAATAGGAGGTGCACAATGGCAATATGTAATAAAGAATCAAATTTCATTCAATAGTATGAGAGGAGTTGCATATAAGAGATGGGTACCCCATAGCGTAACATACGGACGTACAGCTAGACAGACGGACATAACGATTACTATATACCCTCCCGCTTTTCAAGCAAGGGGTATAATGAGCAAGTGACATAAGGACTTCAACTTGTTTATTTATAACAGTGAAAACTGTTGCTGGCCTGCTATGAAATTTTCAATATCTTAAATTCTCGAATGAGAAAAGTGGAAATTGGAAGAACATATTTAGAAAATGGAAGATTCATAAAAGCAAAAGATATAAATTCAACATACCTTGTACAAATTTCAATATTAGTAAAATGCTGCATTCAATTTACTGCACAGTCAAATATTCAAACTATGCATGTCTTGTATTTCAAATATCAAATGACTATTGGAATTTCAACTAAGAGTACAAAATATAATAAATCTTTTGTCTGAGAAAGACAGTGCCAACAAGGAGCTCTGCAAGTACAAGTATTGTATTACAATCTTGTCACGGTCAAATCAAGAATATGTAGACACCTTCAGCAAATGGAAGAATAACTTTAACAAAAAGCTCACAATGTGATACTAACTTACAATTCATTTCAGTTTTAAAGATTTAAAATTAAATTTAAAATTCAATACCAATTTTTTTTTTCAAAATGCAGTGTGTAGCAATGAATTTAAAAACTGATTATACTGGTGTAAGCACTCCATTGGCGAGTACATGTAACTTTTGAAACTTATATGAAATGGATTTTTAAAAAAAATTACGGGTACAGGTTGACATCTAATACCTAATACATGTATATGTAAAAGGTAAATTATTTACAGCTACATTACGGTATGTGTTTGAGATACACTACATGCATATAATACACAGATATCAGTTCATTAACATAGCAGAGGGTACTCAACTTGTAAACAGATAAGGGAGGAGAGCCTAATCCCAAGATAAGCTGTTAATAAAACTAAGAATTAATGCCAAAATATTCTACTTACCTTAGATACTAAAGTTGGGGTCTACCCAGCCTTTGCCCTGTACAAAATAAAAGATTATAACGATAACACTTGGCAAAAAATTCTGATCCCCTTGCATGTTTCTGGACTATTAAATTTCATTTTCTTTTATATCAAAGAAACACACTTTTTTTTTAAATGTAGCAATTACCTCAGAAGAGATTTGATTACCTATGATGAGTTTGAAAGTTCAGTGCCAGTCCTTGACTGTACAATTTATATCAAACTAAACAAAGCTTCACAGAATTTTATGTGAATGTCTGTCTGATAGACAGACAGCCATAATGAACATTGTTCAGCATGACTGAAAATTGATGGAAAAAACTACATCAGGTATATATCAATTTGGGATGCTTTGATTCTGGGCACCATAAAATTTCATTAATATTTTCTCTTTTTTATTCATTACCAGAGGTTCCTATCCATTATACTTCTATAAAATTCAGATTTAGATAGATATGAATTGGTTCCTTGCTCTCTCAATCTTTTTCTTTCTCTCATTATGCATTCATATTCAGAAAAATAACTAAAGAATATCTCTCTCTCTTACCCAACCCCTCCCTTTCTCTCTCTCTCCCTCTCTAGAGATTTTGAAGGGTGAAAATGAGGTCTACCAAGTAGACATATTTGATTTACCTAACTTTGACAATTTTAGGGGGGCGCGCGCCCTCTCTCTCCCTCTCTCTTCTCCACACCCACTTCCCCTCTCTCTCCTCCTCAACCCCTCCCTTTCTCTCTCTCCCTCTCATTCCCACCTCTCTCTCTCTTTCTCTCTCTCCTCCCCACCACCTCTCAATCTCTCCCTCTCTCCATCATTTACTTCTCTCTCTCTCTTTCCCACCCCTTCCTTCTCTCTCTCTCTCTCTCTTTGCCACAACCCTCCCCTCCCTTTCTCCATCCCTCTGTCTCTCTCCTGCCTCTCTCTTCCTCATGCACTCTCCCTCTCTCTTTTCCACACCCACTCCTTCTCTCTCTCCTTCCCACCTTCCTTCTCTTTCTCTCTCCTACCTCTCTCTCTCCTCCCCCTCCCTATTCCTTTCTCTCTCTTCCCCCTCTCTCTCTACCCCCTCTCAATTTCTCCCTCTCTCCATCCCTTTCCTCCCTCTCTTTTTCCCAACCCTCCCTCTCCCTTAATTTCTCCCTCCCTCTTTCTCTCTCTCCTCCCTCTCTCTTTATCATGCATATATATACACATACCTCTTAATAGTCTGCTTCAACTGGAATGTGATTGAAGTGAGTTGAGATCTTCCTCTATTTACTAGGTCGTCACATTATGCCATGGTAAAGAAACGTGCTCTGATATGTCTACAAAAGTATAAGAAGTGGTTCCAAAGTATAATCATAACTAATTAATATAATTACCAAAATATCATTCACTGTATATATAGGCCACTCCCTCAGTCATCTGTCATACTGAATTACACAGGTACTAAAAAATAATTCCTCTCGACACCCCACTTTCTTCTAGGCATTATGGTATTGCTTTCATGACAGTTGCATAATTTACACGTTGTACCATAGCATAGTGTAATTAATACAGGTTTTAAATGCATGACATAAAACTGTCAAGAGTCTCTGCAGAAAAAAAAAAAAATCTTACAGAAAAAATGAAAGTAAAGACAAACCTGCAATATTCCAAGAGTAAATTAAAAACAGTTTAAAAACTTGTTCTTCAACAAATGTATTCACCTGCACTCACAATTAGTGGTAAGTATTTCATTAATGATCACAATTAAGGCAACTGATACAGATACAAAGCCTGCACCCTGATGTTAACGACAAGCTACAGTGTATATGTTGTCCCCCTAAGTACTACATGTATGATGTACTGGTAAATACAAACTTAGTCTGGGTCTAGCCACCGGCAGAAGAAACCCTACACTGCACATCATTAGAGAACCTAAAACCACAAATCACAGGGGAAGATCAAGGGGCTCTAATAACACACAACTTAATAACTGTGTCAAAACAATTGGTCAAGCATTCCAGTGATGTGACTCAATGTCACAACATATCCCAATGTATATTATTTGTATGTCATCATTGTCATGCATGTCATAGTTTTAGCAACATGTAATTAAATTCCTGCAAAACAACAACACATTTTCCTTCATCAAATTTGCAATTCAAGTATATATTGCCTATAATAGAAAACAAATGAATATTAATAATTGATTTCAATACTCTAGAACACCAAAATGTACACTGTTTTGACACAATTTAATAAACGAAAAAATAACCCTTTAAATAAACGTTAAAATACAACAAATATGCGTTTAAAATTAATTTGTCACTTTTTCTCCTCGCAATGTTCGTTTCATTCATATTAAAGATTACTGAAATAAACAATTATGAAGAGGAAAAATTTGAGAATGTAAATATAAGCATTGAATTCATATTTTGGGATGTCTTTGGTCCTATAACACACCTGGCTGTGCCGACAAATTATCATACCACGCTAACGCGCGGTATTCAATTTGTCAGCACAGCCAGGTGTGTTATAGGACCAAAGACATCCCAAAATATGAATTCAATGCTTATAAAGTGCAATACGCACATTATACATTTAAAACAACAAACTAATTATACTGTTCATGCTGATAATCATAAATAAGATGTAAGATATCATCTATATTGCATATAGTTCTAGTTATTTGAGAAATACTAAAAATGGAGCTGCTAAGGAATACAACAAATCATGTAGCATATATATGTCCTTTGAAAACAAAAACAAAAAAAAGAAAGAATTGTAAGTTGCTTACCCTTTGAAGCATTGAAAAAAAATTCTCTCTGTTGTAAACTTAGAGTGAATAGTGTGCAATTTACATGCATAAATTTTTTTTTATGGATTCTGCATATCTATTAAATGAATAACATAAGATGTTTGTGAAACACTTATATGTATGCCCCTCCCCATTCCTGGAAAAAGGACATACATACCAAATTTAATTACAGTTTGTGTGACCTCTGCAAAAATAATGAAAAGAAACTGCAAATTTTTCAAAGTCCAAGGGGCATAACTCTGTCAAAAATTGCTCAATCGTACCCAAAACAGAACTTAAGATGACTTAGACATTTTTATAATAAATCTGTGTCCTAATTTCATATCAGTTTGTGCAACCTCTGTGAAGAAAATGAATGGAAACTGTTGGTGGTCCAACATATGTCATAAAATGTGACTGTCATAGCTTCACACAAATTCGAAACTATTTTGTCATAAGAGTTATCTTCCTTTGCTTAGTACACTATAAGAACTGATGCGAATGATAGTATTGTTCTCCTGCCTATCTTAACCTCTTTCATGGCATATATGCATTTCTACATGTCTGTCGTGAAAAATGTGTATAGCGTAAACAAACATGCATAACTTCATTAATACTGCAAATATCAGAATAATTCTGGAATCGTTAGAAAGAGAAAATAATAAAGATAAAATAATGTACAAAAAATTTTTTATTGATTGTACCAGTTTTTTAAATTGCTAGCTCAAGTTAAACTTCTCGCACTATTCAAGTGATTTTTCCTTGATCAAAATCAACATGTTGATAACACATAAAGTGTAAAAATATTGAGTTCTCGACTGGTAATTACCTCCCAACCCCACCCCATCCACCCACCCTCAAATACTTGTGGTTAAAAAAAAAAAAAAGTTCAACATGCTGATAATTTTCAGCAATAGAATTTTAATTTTTAAAAATATTTAACTAAAATATTTCATTCTTATTCTTGAATAAATGGAAATTCCAGTATGAATAGGGTGTATTTCGTTGCCATGGCAATGGAAATTATATTTTTATAATCACTTTCAGAAACTATACAATACCTGCTTTAAGAATATTTATACATTGTATACACAAAAATTACAAGAAGTACCCCCAAAATGCTGAAATCTTGTTATCATTTTCTCTAGAAATGCTTAAAATCTTGACCATGAAAGGGTTAAGTCAATTTTGAAAAGTCAATATATATATATTTGCGCATGATTTTTCATACTTATATAGATATTTATATGAATTTTCAGAAAACATTACTAATTTGGAAAATAAGAGATAACTATAATTTTGGTTACACTTGTGTTTTTCACTATAATCAATGGAAAATATTCTTAAAACATCTTCCCCCCACCCCCATGAAACAAATTCCTTTTTACAGGCAATATATGGACTGTCATTACCAAAGCATTTTGTGTTTCCCGGTGTGTTTCCCTGTACAACTAAAACAGGGTATTTTATCAATAATTAATTTATATTAAATTCTATATGTGTAAAACATAAGAAAAGATTTAAATAACATTTATTCATATTCATATCTGAGAAAATTTTAAAATATGGTAATTCTGTAAAGCCCAACAATTTGTAACAACTTCCAAAGAGTAGAGAAATGCTAATCCCTGTTGAGATTCTGCTAGGCTTGATATTTGGACTGACGCTGTCGCAGAATCCCTGGACAACCATTAATAATTCATGTCTGGAGATTAAGTCCCAACTTCGGTGGACTATAGCAAGAATTATTCACCTAGACCACACTGCCGTTCACTTCAATTAAGTCATTTAGTTGTTTATTTGTCTCTCTGTCTCTATTATTTCTACAAAGCTTACCGTTTAGGCATGTAAATCCCAACATAAAAATATTCATTGAAATCTCCGTTCGAAATACAGCTCCCATGACGAAATTATTTACCTCCTCGAATAAAAGAGTTCCTATAGTCTGTTTTTACCCAATGTGATTCTGAACCAAGTCTACTGTGGCTCTTGAACATCACATAGGGTAAAACAGACTATAGGAACTCTTTTATTCGAGGAGGTTAACAATTTCGTCACGGGAGCCATATTTCGAACAGAGATTTCAGTGAATATTTTTATGTTGGGATTTACATGCCTAAACGGTAAGCTATATGTAGAAATAATAGAGACAGAGAGACAAATAAACAACTAAATGACTTAATTGAAGCAAACGGCAGTGTGGTCTAGGTGAATAATTCTTGCTATAGTCCACCGAAGTTGGGATTTAATCTCCAGACATGAATTATTAATGGTTGTCCAGGGATTCTGCGATGGCGTCAGTCCAAATATCTAGCCTAGCAGAATCTCAACAGGGATTAGAGAAATGCTGGTACAATTTAACCATATATGGCAAGAAATTAGTAAAAGTCAGCACTAATTTCTTGCCATATCTAAATTATCAAGGATAAATTTGTTGTTTTTTTAATTTGCATATAATATATTCTTATTGTTATCAATCAAGAGAAAGTTCAAGTATTTGTGTACATGTAATACGCAAGTTTCGAGATTATCTCCCTTGGTGCGCTCTTTCGTTGAGGAGGGGAGTTTCGTTGCCGCGTAAACAAAAAGGTGGGACAGATATGTTGGATACATTGCATCATCGATATTATACAATTATTGCTGTTTTTGAGGTTAATACAATGATTTAGCCATCTGAGGAGTACAGTATTCACCGAGCCCGAAGGGCGAGGTGAATATTGTACTTCGAAGATGGCTAAATCATTGTATTGACCGAAAAACAGCAATAATTGTTTTAGTATATGATTCACTGATAAAATGATACAGCTCATTACTTGTTAACTTGCATTTATTTAAGTCCTAGCCAAATACAACAGAGAAACAGAATTAAAATGTGAATAAACCTTACCAGTCGTATCAATTTGAAATGTGTTTTTTATCAATTTTAGTTGACATGAAAAAATTAATATAATGTCAGTCTTTTTATAGGATAAAGTTTGAAAGGAAGGAGCATTATTAGGGAAAACTGACTGCCAAAAAGTAAAAAAAAAACAAAACATGTTGTTCAGTAAAAGTGTTGGAGGGGGGTCCCTGCATCCCCTCTTACCACCCTTACCCTAAAATATATATTCGTTTATGTTTTTTTTCACATGAAAAAAAAAAATCACAGTCGTTTAAATAGCTTTCCAAAACAATTTGTATCAATTTGGAATTTCCCAATCTATTTTTAGATCAATGTAGAGGAAATAAATCCTTGTATTGACCTGGAACGTCACGTGCAGGTCAATACAACGTAGTATTTTTCTAACATAGTCGGATCTCAGCCAATCAGAGAGATGGAAATTATTCAATCATATAATAAACCGGTTTATCATTACTACACGATTGTCAGGATCCACTCTACAACTTGAGAATAACCTAATTAAAGTAAAGGCATGATTTTTGAAGCAAGAAAAATAGAAACAAAAAAGAAAATATCAGTGGATGTGAGACTTTTCAGATGAGGGAAGAGATATGGACCTCTGATAAATACGGTGCACATGCATCTGATTACGTCGGGAATCTTAATGACATATTGATTCTTTTCCTTATTATGACTTCAAAAACACTAACTTTTTAGAAAATGTTCGTACAATTGTCACAGGATCATTATTTACTATGTTTACTATGGTTTAATTTGCGCATGCGTCATTTCTTTCATTCATCCATTCATGGGTTGTAAGTTCATGACCTCTGATGTCATACGGTGAGTATGGAATGCGTATGGGTGTGTTTGACTGGTTTTTCTAGTCACTGCGCATGGCTGGCGCGAATTTTATTAACCCTTGCATGAAATAATATTTTTATTCACATCGTATGAAAACCCTCGCAGAGACAGACGTTACTACGGACTTACGTTTGTAACCTATCCTAAATAAATAGGAGTGTATAAATTCTGTCTACATGGTAAGTTATTTTAATTAAACTATTTTATAACCAGTAAATTAAATTATGAATTAAATAATGATATAAATCTCAGTTAAAATATTTAATGTGTGAATGAA